GAAAAAAAGATATTTCATGTAAATGGTAAACTAAAGGGTGCAGGGGTTGTTGTACCTATATCAGACAAAATAGACTTTAAGTCAAAGACAGTTATAGGAGGCAAAGGAAGTTATTGTATAAATGATAAAGAATTAATTCAGCAAGAAGATATAATAATTATAAATGTATTGCACCTAACACCAGAGCACTTAAATATAAACAAACATTGACAGATCTAAATGGAGAAATAAGTGATAATACAATAATGGTAGGAGACTTTGATACCCTATGCTAAATAATGAATAGAACATCCAGACTGAAAATCAAGGAAATAGCAGACTTGAACAACATTATAACCAAACGTACCCAACAGACATATTCAGAACATTTCATCCAACAGCAGAAGAATACACATTCTTCTCAATGCACACAAATCTCTAGGATAGGTCACATGATAAGTCACAAAACAACTCTTAAGAATTGTTCTTAAGAGTTCTCAATCTCCTTGAGAAGATTGAAATAATTCCAAGTATCTTTTCTGACCACAATGGAATGAAACTAGAAATCAACAACATAAGTAAAATGGGAAAATTTACAAATATATGGAAATTAAACAACATGATATTACGTGACTATTGGAAAGAAAAAATCAAAAGAGAAATTAGGAACTATCTTAAGATAAATGAAAACAAAAACACAACATATCAAAACTTACAGAATGCAGCCAAAGTAGTACTAGGATGGAATTTTATAGCACTAAATGCCAACAAAAATTTTGAATAAAAAAATCTAACTTTAAATCTGAAGGAACTAGGAAAAGAACAACTAAGCCCAAAAATAGTAGAAGAAAGGAAATAATAAAGATTAGAGCAGAAATAAATGAAAAAGAAAATAGAAAACTCAACAAAATGAAGTTAGTTTTCTGAAAATATAAACAAAATCAACAAATCCTTAGCTAGACTAAGAAAGAAAAAAGATGACTCACAACTGATGCCGCAAAAATAAAAAAGATCATAAGGATTATGAAAAATGATATGCCAACAGATTGGACAACTTCGAAGAAAACAGATAAATTTCTGAAAACATACAACTTATGAAGGCAAAATCAAGAAGAAATAGAAAACTTGACAGACCTATAACAAATAAGTAGACTTAATCAGTAAAAAGTCACCTATCAACACAGAAAAGCCTAGGACCAGATGGCTCCACAGGTGAATTCTACCGAACATTTAAAGAGGAAGTAATAGCAATATTTCTTAAACTATTCCAAAAAAATGTTAGGAAGCACTTCTGAACTGAACTCATCTTATGAGGCCAGCATCACTCTGATACCAAACCAGATAGACTCCACGAAAAAAAGAAAAATAAATGCAAAAATCCTCAACAAAATGTTAGCAAATCAAACTCAACATTACATTAAAAGGATCATATACTATGACTAAGTGAGATTTATCCCTGGAATGCAATGGTGACTCAATATACACAAATCAATCAATATGATACATTATATTAATTGAATTAAGGATAAAAATTATATGATCAAGTTAATAGATGCAGAAAAAACATTTGAGAGAATTCAACACCCTTTAATGATAAAAGCCCTTAATAGATTAGACATAAAAGGAACTTATTTTAACACAATAAAGGCCTTATATGAAAAACTTACAGCGAACGTCATACTCAATGGCAAGAAACTTAAATCTTTTCCTCTTTAGTCAGGAAAAAGACAAAGATGACTGTTCTTGCCACTTCCATTCAATATAGTACTGGAAGTCTTAGCCAGAGTAATTAGAAAAGAAAAAAATAAATAAATGTATCCAAATTAGAAATAAACAAATAAAATTGTCTCTGTTTGCAGATGGCATGATTTTATATGTAGAAATCCCTAAGGATTCCACCAAAAATTATAGAACTAATAAACAAAATCAGTAAAGTTTCAGGATGCAAAATCAATATACAAAAATCAGTTGTATTTCTAATAACAAATGAGCAAACTATCTGAAAAAGAAATATAATAATTATTCCATTTGCAACATCATTAAAAATAACAAAATACTCAGGAATAAATTTAACCAAGAAGGTGAAAGACTTGTACACTGAAAACTACAAAACATTGCTTAATTAAAGAAGACACAAATTAATGAGAAGACATTTGCTGTTTAAGAAATGGAAGAATTACTATTGTTAAAATATTCATACTATCCAAAATGATCTATAGATTCAATGCAGTCTCTATCAATCCTAACAATGTTTTTTATACTGAAAGAAAAATTCATCCTATAATTTATGTGAAATCTCAAAGGACCTTGAATGGCCAAACAATCTTCAAATATAACAAAGTTAAAAGACACATATCCTGATTTCAAAACTTAATACAAAACTACAGTAATCAAAACAATATGGTACTGGCATATGACAGACTTAGATACCAACTGGAATAGAATAGAGAACCTAGAAATAAACCCTTGACTATATGATAAAATGATCTTTGGCAAGATTGCCAAAAATACACAATGGGGAAAGGATAGTCTCTTCAATATATGGTACTGGGAAAACTGTGTATCCACAGGCAAAAGAATGCAATTTGACCTTTATATCATACACAAAAATCAACTCAAAATGGATTGAAGCCTTAAACATAAAACTTAAAATTATAAAACTTCTAGAAGAAAACATAGGAGAAAAGCTACTCAACACTGATTTTGGCAATGATTTATTGGATTTGACCACAAAGCAAATGTCAAACTAAAAATCTTCCATATAACAAAAGAAAAAAATAACATGAAAGGCAACCCATGGAAGAGGAGAAAATATTTGCAAAACATATATCTGATATAGGATTAATATCCAAAATATATAAGAAATTCCTAAAGCTCAAGAGTAAATAACCAAATAACCCATTTTAATAATAGGCAAAAGATCTGAATAGGCATTTATTCAAAGAAGGCATTTAATTGTCCAGCAAGTATATACAAAGTGGCTCAACTTCAATAATTAATACGGTCATGTGAGTCAAAACCACAATGAGATATAACCTCACACCTGTTAGGATGGCTATTACAAAAAAAAAAAGATAACAAGTGTTGGTAAGGATGTGGAGAAAAGGGGACTCTTGTATACTGTTGGTGGGAATATAAATTGATGCAGCTGCTGTGGAAAACAGTATGGAGCTGCCTCAAAAAAAAATGCCCAATAGAACTTTCTTCCAATCTAGCAATCCCATTTCTGAGTATATTTATCCAAAGGAAATAAAATTCATAGATGAACCTGGAAGACATTATACTAAATGAAATAAGACACACACACACACACACACACACACACACACACACACACACACACACACTAAGTACTACAGGATCCTACTTATATGAGGAATCTAAAATAGTTAAACTTATAGAAGCAGAGAGTGAATGGTAGTTACTAGGGGATAGGTGAAGGAAAAATAAAAAGTTTTGGTCAAAAGGTGTAAAATTTTAGTTATGCAAGAGATTCCTAGAGATCTACTGTGCAACATAGTGCTTATAGTTAACAATATTATATTGTATACTTAACATTTTGCTAAGAGGGTTGATCTTATGTTAAGTATTCTTATCACACACACAAAGTTAAAAATTAAAAAAATAATAAAAAGGGTAGAGAAAACTTTGGAGGTGATGGATATATTTATAGTATTGACTATGGGCGTGGTTTCATGAATGTATACTTATTTCCAGACTTATCAAGTTGTATGCATTAAATACGTACAGTGCTTGGTATGTCAATCATACCTCAATAAAAATTAAAAAAAAAACAGGTTAAAAAATATCTCAAACTCGCACACACAAAAAAAATCAGAGAATTCTTCGCAGAGGAAAAAGTTAAGAATGGAATGTGGAAATTTGAGCAGAGAAAATGTAGGAAATGATGTAAAGGTAGGGCACAGACAACATATCCTTTCTCCTTTTTTTTGCACAGGTTCGTGAGAAAATTCTGTCAGGAAAAGGTAATTTAATAATAATAGTAGCAACAACAAAAATAGCTGACATTTATTGAGCTCTTTTATGTACTAAGCATTATGCTAAATGCTTCAGGTATTACATTATTTAATTCCCTCAAAACTTTATTACATATTTATTTATTAAAAATATTTATTGAACATTTGCTACATGCTAGATATTGTGCTAGGTGCTAAGGATACAGTGATGAATAAAATCACTATGGTCTGCTCCTAGAGAGCCTATAGTATAGTAGGAGAAACATACATTAAACAAATAAAAATAAATATTTATTGACACGTGATAAATGATATGGAAGGTGTGACAGAATAATGAGCAGGGATTCATTCCAGATAGAGTGGTCTGAGAAGGTCTCTTTTAGGTAATATTTGTAAGCTGAGACCTAAAGAATAAGGAGGAACCAGCAAACAAGGGCCTTGAAGCAGATGTGAATAACATAGAGATTTCTTTCCTCTAAAAGAGGAATTGAAAGAAGATCAGAGAGGCTAAGTAGAGATAGCGGTGGAGAGTAATGGGGCTGAGACTGAAGATGGGCCAGACCATCTAGGGTCATGGAGACTCAGTTTCATTCTGAGTGCATGGAGAATTCTTGCAGGGTTTTAAGCAGATATGGGAAAGATCTGATTTATATTAAAAATACTACTCTGACTGTCTCGTGGAGAATGGAGTGGAGAGAGATAAAGCAAAAGTTGGGGAGAGTTGTTTGGAGTTTATTGTATTTTATGTTAAAGATGGTGATTGTTGGATATAGGATGGTGGTTGGAAATTTGGAGAGAAGTGGATAGGTCCAAGATATATATTTGTAGGTAGAGTCCAAATGGCCTGGTGATAGAGAAGCTGAAGTCAGGTTTCTGGTGTGAGTAATAGGGCTGATGTATTGTCATCCTCCTTTTTCAGTCTGGGAGTCCAAAGCTCATCGAGCTTAGGTAACAAGTCTTGGGAGATTTGTCTAGTAAATGATGTAGGAGGATTTGAGCATGAATCCATCCATGCTCAACGCATGATGAGACATTCAGAGACAACGCATGACACCAACACACTGCACTCTCTCAAAATGAGTCACAATTCTGATTCTTCCTAAAAGGAGAGAAGTGGTTGTCTTCTGAGTTAGAGTCTCTTCATCAACCATAATTCCACTTGCTTAGTTACCAAAGAGAAAGTTAATATCCAGGCATATTTTCTGAAGCATATTTTGGCCTGGAGCAGATTTTAAGATATTATTTGGATCGCAGGCTGCAATGATGTTATTCCTTAAATGTTTGACCTGGATAAGCAAGTTTGAGTCTGAAGAAATGGAAATGATGATCTTAGATTTTCAAATTCTGTTGCCAGGCAGAAACCAAGCTGTTTGCTCCCATGGGATTAGGAGAAGCTGTGCCATTCTTGGATTCCTTTGAGAACTTTTGGCAACCTAGATGACGTTGTCAAGGGCAGTTGCTCTGGAAGAAATGGATTTACTTTAACAAGAAAAAGAGAAAAATGAAGTAAGTTAATAGGGACTAGAGCCTCAGGCCATCCCTCATGGCAACAGAGAAAGTGTGGAGAGCACTAGCAGGCAGATAGGGATATTGATAGCATAAAGCAGGATTGTATTAAAAAATGAGCAGGTTGAAAACTTAGTTATGTGTGATGATCTTAATACAAAATAACTTCTTGGATATGTTTTGATGATGTCCTGAGATTTTCTATATCCTGCTGGTATTTACACATCTATAAAGTGGCCCCTTTATTTTTACTTTATTTGCAAAGTCATAGGTCTGAGGAAAGAGGTAAGAATGTAAGAACATGGAGCAATCATGGACTTACCTGTTGGACTGATAAACTGTGGAGTAAATTGTGGAGGAATCATTGTTTTCCACAGATGTTGCGATTTCTTTTCTCTGTAAAAAGTAATCATACCCATTTGGCTCACACAAACAGCATAGATATATTCATACATAGATATATTCTCAAGGGAAAGGTAGTGAGACAAAAAAGAGATGATTTCAAAGTCCTTCAGGAGGAAGGCTAGGGAGCAAGTGTTTAGCAAGAGGAGCTGGAGGCCAAACACCACCAGCTCTCAAACCTATAAAAGTTTAGTGGTATTTTCTGAGCCTCAAACAGAAGCATACCCCAGCAAACCAGTGAGCTCAAGTACCAGAGAGACAGAAGGGTGACCGTCTTGGCAGGTGGTATGAAGGAAAGGAAGCATTCCTGTTCTGCATCCAATTCTACTCTCCTTCCTCCATTTTTAAGAACTTATATACCGGATGTTTATTGTATTGTATCTTTTGTCTCAGATATCGACTAGCTATAACTGGAGGCATCGCCTGCTCCATTTCGTCCCTGTGATTCTAAGTACTTGGTCATCATGTCATTGAGTTCTTAAGCATGGGGAACTGGCAAAGTAGGAGAAACACCTGGTATTAAGAGTAACTCTGCTTGGAATACAAAGTATAGTAATAACAGAAGTCCCCCCACACTCAGAGGTTTTGAAATTTAAAATTAATTAAGGAATATATAGGGTACTATTAAGATCTCTGAAATTCTCCAAATACAATTGCAACTAAAGAAAAAGTTAACAAAATTTGCAGGAGATTAGTTTCTTGGTTCATTGATAGTGATTCATCTTGACTTCAAGAGGATATTGAGAAAGCAATAGAAATATCTGAACAAGTAAGAATATCTCTTTGTGTTCCCTTTTTTCAAGGCACCTGCTTTGCAAATACCTGTGAGGGGCTGTTTGAGGAGAGATTTGCTTGGTGATCCAAGACTTCTAGCTTGACTATTGCTTCCATCAGTTGGAGAATGATGAATTCTCTGAGCTCATTTTTCAGAAGACATGGAAACTGGCCTCCCAAGACATATAGTGTTCATTAGAAATGTGCCTCTTACAGATGGTGGGGAATCATTGATACCAGATCAAGTCCACCCTGTTATGCTGCTAGAGGTGAGGGGAGGATTGAGGACTATTCATGCTTTTAGCATCCTTTACTGTGGAGGGTTTTCAAATTTTTGCCCCTCTTGAGAGATTGCTTCTAAGCTCCCCTATTTTTCCTACATCCTGAGTGAGAAGCCCCCTGCTACAGAATTGTCCCCTTTGGAAATTCAAACTTAATTGAACTCTGATCCACACAGCAAGCATTTAATGAGTAAATGCGTGCTAAGACATAGGAGAAGAGAAAGGAAGACATGATTTTTTGCTTCGAGGTAAATTGTAATTAAGCTGGAGGGACAAGACTTACTAATGTATCAAGTCTTACAAAACAGTGTAAAGCAGGAGATGAGTAAATATTCCACTAGGGTGAGAGCAGTGGGAACTGAAAAGGTCCTACATAGAACTTTGCAGTTCCTGTAGTTTCATTCTCTTCTCTAAATGTGTACATCATTTGGATTGGTCAGATGATTATGGTTACAAGTTTGTGAATAATAATGCCAATGATCAAGTATAAAACTGAAAGGACTCACCGTGTTTGGATGAGTGACCTGAATATACACAGTGTTCCCTGCAGAGGATGGATCATCCTCTGCATTCCTCGGGTTCTCTGCTATAAACACAAAAAGGCATTCAGTGGCAGAAGGACTCTGGGTCTGCTCTCCTGGGACCTTGCCTACCTCAGGGGACTCTCTGGCCCCAAACATGCAGTTGAGGCATTACCCTTCCTTAAAGTTCATTCATTTTTGACCATCTTTGGAATTCTGGGCTGAACCAGAATCTTCTCAGTCATGTGAGCTACTTCTGACCTCATCTTTTGGAGGGACATGATCTTGATGTACCCTAAAGTGTCAGAGTCTCACTCTGAATTCACATGTAAGCCAGGAAGCTCCTAGGACCAAATAGTACCGCAAACACAAGAGCTAGGGAACCTCACTGGTGAACATAATGAAACCAATTATTTCACATACATATTATTAAACTTTTCAGAAGTCCTTAAGGTGGGTTTGATTGTATCAGGGATGAGGAAATGTAAGCTCATAAAATTCAATTGACTTGTCACAAAATTACCCAGGAAGTGATCGAATTGGAACTTGAATGCATCTTTTGACTCCAAACCTCATGCCTTGTCCTCTACACATGAAGTCATATATCTCTCACTCTTGAAAGGAGACTCAGTGACAATCTGAGTCCAGAGTGCATTGCAGTCTCTATATCACACTTTTTTTTCTTTTGATTCTGTCTACTAAATGCCTAAACTCTGGATTAATAGAATGCTGGGATCAGGCAGTTTATCTTTGGGCCTTTGATGCTCTAATCCTATCCTTGCCCTGGACTTGCTGAGTGATAATGGACAGGCTATGAGCCCTTTCACTGGCACTTGGTTTCTCCATCAGCAGGGTGGGGATGACCCTAATCCCACTCCAAGAAATCGGGTCAGTGACTGGTTCATATGCTTGTAAGGGACCCTGTAGGTCTCACAGGGGACAGACATAGACAGTTACAGCTTCTTCCCTTGCACTATCTATCTGGTGCATCTGAGTAATAACATTTTGACTGCATCCTCTCTCATTATCTAGTCCCATCTATTCAGCTCTTCCCATTTGTTTTATGACTGAGAGTTAAGAGTCTGGAAGCTCACCAAGATTAAGGGTTTGCCGAGCAGAGAAACATGAAGAACCTGAAAAATAAAATCCGGGAAATTGAAACTTGTGACTGTAGTGAGGAGAGGTCTTCTACCCTAGACCTGCATAGTTGTCTCTCTAGAGGATGTGGTGGGAGGGCACCAGAAAGGGAAGGGCAGGTAGGTTCTGAAGCTGGGTTCTACATTTCTCAGAAAGACACCTTCCTTAAGAGATTAGCAGGCATGTGGTCATACCCTAGGTGTTGTTCCAGTGGACTAGCTGAACCAGGGTTTTCATCCTCCCTCCCTTTATTACCCGTCTTTCATGAGACAGATAAAGGAAGCACCAGATTCTAAGTCCATGAAACCTTGGAGAAGAGACAAGTAGGAAGAAAGGAAACCTGCTATTTTTCTCCTCCAAAAAAATAAGCACACGAAGCACACGAGAAAAGCCAATAAAAACGCTGTTGTAAACCATATAGCAAGGTATTGATTTTTCTCATGAAAAACACCTGAAAAGAAAACAAAAAAGAAATTACACTTAAGACACATTAAGTAAGCCAACAGTGTTTTTCTCAGAGCCTCCACTTAAGCTCTTCCAGGCCAACTTTTGGAGGTAGGTGGGTTCATCATTCCCCAGAATCTCTGGGGCTTTGGGCAGGATTTTGAAAGTGGGAGTCCCATGTGGCAGCCAGGGCAGGGCAGAGCCTGATAGAGCCAGGGAAGGACATGATTCTGCCTTCCCAAGGACTTTGCCCTTGGGCTCGAGTGTGTTGGAAGAAGGGTTGGGGGAAGAGAAAGTGGGGAAAGGTGAGACCTCTGGGGGTAGTGGGAAGCATAGAGCACCAGAGGGTGTCTGTCCTCTCCCAGCATCTGTAGCTACCTCCCAGTGGACTATTGTTTTGGGAATCATGTAGGTCATGAGGACATGCCATGACCCACAGCTGCTCAAGTCTCTCAGAGAGCCCTCAGACAGACTTACTTTTGCAGAGACTTTGGACAGAGAAGGAGAAGGATAAATCGCTGACAGGATTCTCAGCTATGCAGGTGTAGGTCTGTTCACTGGAGTTCTTGGAGTCCCAAGAGATAGTGAGGTTTGCTTCCTGTAGAAGTATGTTTTCTGAGACCTCCCACCTGAATGAGATGTGGTCATTTGGATTCTCTACAGAGCAGGCCAGGTGGATCTCACAGGTTCCATTCTCAAAGATTTGAGTGTGATTGGAAACTTGTAAGTTCCTCAGTCGTTCTGTGTGCAGAGAAAAGGCCCAGATAAAGGATAAATGGCTTGGCTAAGCCCTCTGTGAAAAATATCCTTTCCCTCAATGATTCTGTATTCCACTTGATACTCTGCTGTATGTTATGGTCAGTATACTCTGTAAAAAACTCTGCTTGTGTTACCTAATTGATGGGATCAAGGTCTAGAATGATCAAATGACAAGGGACATCAGTATGAGACAGGGTGGTCAGTGTGAGAAATGAGAAGGGAAAGACTGAAGTTGCCACCAAGTAGTTGGTGATTTGGGGTTGTTCACTTTACTTTTCTGGGCTTCAGTTTATTCCTGAGATTCTTTCTAGCCTTTGTTTGGTACCCATTGTGTAAAGATAATTTGGAGACTAAGCTGAGGGCCAGCCCTACCTTAGCCAGGTCAGAAACCAGAACCGGGCACAAAAGCCCTGTTTCTTCCGTCATCAAAATTCCCTAACTGTTGTGGAAGATGGAAGCTTAACCTTCTTTGAGAGCCATATTTCCCACAAATTTGTGGGAATCCTGGTCCTCATTGTATCTGATGCTGGCTCCAATGCTGACAAATAGACTGATGCAGAATGTCAGCAAGACAGAGACATGTTGAAAACCGAAAAACTGGGGAAAGAAGAAGTGAAGAAACTGAGAGAGCAAGTAAGTAATTCCAGGCAGCAAAGAAGTGTAATATATTCAGGCATTTGAGAAAACGTATACTGCAAAAATTTATGATGCAGAGACCAGAAAATATTGGCTAGTAAGATGTCAGTAGCTATGAATCAACAGGGACATGGGAACAGTACAGAGAAGGTCACTGACCTAGACTTGGCCTGAGGGTTGAAGTAAAGATAACCCAATAAAGAACAGAATATTTCCAACTGTCTAATTAGAAGAGACATTATAAGTGTCTTTATAAGAGAAAAGCAGATAGTCAAGATAGTCAGAAGAGGAGAAAACACAGGGAAGAAGAGGCGATGTAATCATGGAGGTAGAGATTGACATTGTATGGCCACAGGCCAAGGAACATCAAGAAATACCAACAGCAACCAGAAACTGGAAGAGGCACAGAACAGATTGTCCTCTATGGCCTCCAGACGAAAAGTAGCCTTGCCCATGCCTTGATTTTGGACTTCTGGCTCCCAGAACTGTGAGAAAATAAAATTTCTGTTGTCTTAAGCCACCAAATTCATAGTATTTTATTTTGACAGCTTCAGGAAGCCAATACACTGCCCCAGGGTGATTTTTATCCCCTTTGTTCGAATCTCTGTTAAGAAATTTTCCAGACATCCTCTCTTTCCTGACATTTACCTGCTATGTGTCCTATTCTTTTAGGGACATGACTTTGACTAATCTAGCATGGTAAACCTACCAAATACTCAGGGGATAATGAGTATTTGCCATTTGTCAAAGGAAATCAGCTTTGACTGACCAGAAATTCAACCTCAGTGGGATAACATGTTTCCTGCAGTTTTGACTGCATGAGCAAGCACTACAGTTTTTCTCAAGTTGCTCTAGAAATAGATCGAAAGCATATCAGTGTCTTTGAAATACAGAAAATTAAATGATTTGTCTAAAAATGAGTCAGAGAGCAAAAGGGTAGCATGTAACCTACTTGAGGTTTTAACAGTATTTTTTTTTGGATATCATATCTTAACCCAAAGGACTCTGAGTGAATTTTAGACACTATGGGTTCTCTAGTAAATAAGATTTACAGAATCTCAGTGGCCTATAAATTTGCCAATTTAATGCTTGAATCTCCTATACAACATTCTTGCCATTCATGGCCTCTGTGAACATCACTGATTGCCAGAAGGATTTTTTTTTTGATATTGGCTCATAAGCAGTGTTATTATAGTTTCCATAACTTTATGTTGAGGACCTGAGCTATCTGGGGAAAATACTGGCTGATTAATTAAACAATCCTAATAGAAAAGACATTTTTCTTTTCTAGCTTATACTTATAGAATATTTTCTAGGTAGACCACTGTTCTGTACTCTGAGCATTTGTGTAAAGGGAGGTATCACATCAGCTAGTTATGTGGGAAGCTCTCCCACTCACTATCTCTGATTGTAGAGGGATTGCTATGACTGACACTGTGCCTCAGGGGTAAGGATAACTCTTCATGGAGATTTTGTGAGGATTACAAGACAGATACATGTAACGTGCATGGTAACAAAATCAGATAGTTCACTTCCATTACTTCTACTACATTTCTAGTTGAAAGGTACCATTTTATAGTGTGAAGGTGAATGATTTTGGGGTTGGAGTTACAAGACTTAGGTTCTATTCTCAGCTCTGTAATTAACTGGTCATGTGATATCACTGAGTTGCTTTACCACTGGACTTCAGACTGGCTCCAAATGCCATATTCTCTACCACTAGGCTATAGAGCATACCTGTAGTCACATAGAATTGAAATACGTAATGTTTTTGTCAATATATAATTAAATCCCAAACTTTGACTCACCAAAGATCCTCACAGAGTAATCAAAAATCAATGAGGAGTCGATTGTAGTTATCTGGGCACGGTAAAGTCCTTCATCTGCCATCATCAACTCGTTGATCTGCAAGAAGTAGGACTGGGTGATTTTCAGTCGATGTTTCCGTTTTGGGTCAGTCACCAGGATTGGTTTTTTCTTTGGCTCTAGGAAGATGATAGATGTTCCATTAAAAAGCCAGGTGATATACACGATCTCCTCTCCTGCAGAAATCTTCAAGGGAAGAGTTACTGACTCCCCCAGCACCCCTTTCACCTTCAATGGGGTTTCTTCAGTTTGTGAAACTGTGTACCCTGTAAACACAAAAGGGAAACTGTTATAACTCCCCTTGCCCTGTACCCCTCCCTGCATCCTTTCCCTGAAACTCTGCTGGTCTGTTAGAGCTCTCTGATACTGAAGCCTGGAGATATGATGAAGAGAGAAAAGGTTAGAAAAAAAGTGTTGAAATAGACAATAGAAAGGCTCCCCCCACAACAAAATGTCTGACACTCTTGGCTAATGAACAGTTAACCCAGATCATCCTGGCCTAGTCTACCCTCCCACACTAGCTGGTTACCTTGGGTCATGGCCACACTATCTGATCCCAGCCTCTGAGTTCTCTGGGCATGAGGTGGAGGGGGACAGGGAACTACATCAATTCCCTGCTACAAACTCCAAAAAACACAAGTATTTGCTGATAACGTATAATTAAAGCTCAGCATTTGCTGATTACTTACTATGCATCTAACATAGTGAGCTTGTGAGATTTAGAAGACTAATAGTTAGAATCTACAGTTCTTACACATTATTTCATTTGATGCTGATAATTCTGTGAGGTAAGTAGGATAGATATTATTATCTCCATTTATAGATAAAAGAACTGAGGCATAGAGAAATTAATTTTCCAATGGTTACACAACTAAAGAATAAGAGACAGGATTCAAACCCAACTACTTTGACCCAATTACTTTGTACTCTTTTCATGATACCGGAAGATATCTTTTCTCAGAAAGATTATAGGCTAATAATTGAGGAAATAAACATAAAAGTAACAAGTATTTCAAAGGAACATATATAATGGCTATACTTGTGAGCCTGTCTCAGAGCCATTAATGTTTGAGCAAAAGAGGTGAAATAGTCACAGTGATTCTCAAAGGAGATGCTTCCTTAGCATTCTTTGCCTAATACTTAACACTCAGTACACCATTTTATTGTCCTCTGTTCATTTGTTTGTCTAACTGACCATGTTTATATTACTTTTGTATCTCAGTGCCGTGCCTCACACAAAGTAGTATCTGGAAATGTGATTTAATGAATAAATAACTGTAACCATGACCTCAACCTTCTTGAGATCTAATTCTCAGAAGAGGTTCTGAGTAGGGAGGGAAACATCACAAGGAAAATATTGAGCAAAAAAAAAAAAAATCCGGATACAAGTAGAATACAATGGTATGGTTCCATTTATTTAAAGTTAAAAAACAGGCAATACACATCTATGCTGTTAGAAGTTGGGATAGTGGTTACCTTTGAGGAGGAGGGAGGATGGCAAGTAGGAGAGAATGTAAAGGGGAATTCTGGGGTGCTAGTAATGTTCTATTTCTTGACTTGTGTCTGTATACACAGATTTATTCATTTTATGATAATTCATTGAGCCGATACTTAAGATTTATACAGTTTTCTCTTTGTGTTAAATTTCAGTAAAAGAGGCTAAACAACAAAAACCAAACCAAAACAAAATAATTACAATGGTGTATAAGTTTAGTCGTTTTTCTCTCTTCTACTTAGTTTCCTATAACTCTCCTCTGTGTTCACTTTGCTCAAACTACATTGGCCTGGCTATTCCTAGAGATGGCCAGGTCTTGTATACCTGTAATTCCCTCTACCTGGAATGTAGTTCTTCCAGGTGTCCATTTTGCTCACTCTTTCATCTCCATAAGATCTTTAATGCAAATATTTCCTCTTAGAGAGGCCTACTGTGCCCATTCTTTTCTCACCACCAACCCTTGCCCTTGTATACTCAACTGCCTTTGAATTTATATTTCTCCATAATATTTACTATCTAGCATATTTTATAATTAGCATATTTGGTTTTTAAAAATTATTTTCCCCTTCCACTAGAATGTAAGCTCCATGAAAGCAAGAATTTTTGTCTGTCTTGTTCATTATTGTAACACCTGTGACAGTGCTTGGCACATAGTAGGCATCCAATGCATATTTGTTGAGTGAATGAACACATCTTTATCTCTGCTCTTGTAGGTTCTCTGTCTGGGATATTAAAGACCAATTCCTCTTTGTAAGGAGTCTGGACATATCCTGTGGCCCAAGGACTCCCTAAGAACTGTTTCTCCCTCACCTAACATTTTCCTTTAAGGTTCCTTTTTTTTTTTTTTTATAGATTGCAATTATTCATTTAATAAGTCATTCTAGTATTTGCTCAATTCTCTGCCGATTTAATGATGGAATTCAGATTATATTTATTAGATTACTTTTATGTACAAGTTTCTGGCAACACAAAAATAAATAAGACATGTTGGTCCTCTGGGCTCAACATAAGGTAGAGGAGCCTTACTGATAGATAGCAGTTATGGTGCCATAAGTTAAGAATTAACCTAGGCTAGAGATTGCCTCTACTCGCCCTTGTACCACTAATTGCATCTTATGCACTCAGGATCAAGTACTTCTTTCTCTTTGTTATAATTACGAGATTGTTTTCCTCTTTTCCCCCTAATTTTAAGGGTAGAAATTATGCTTATTATCTCCGTATTCATAGCACATAACATAATTTTTAGTTCAATAAATGTTGAAATGATAGAGGTGGGAGCACAAATAGTGAGAATGATGATTGGAGAGAGTTGGGGGTTGTCAGGGAACACTTCACAGAGGAGATTATGTTACAGCAGGGTTTTGAATAAAAACAAGAAGTTTGTCATTGCTTGATTATTTCTGCTTCTTTCCACAATGCTCTGCTCTTTCTTTGCTCTGTTGTTCCTTTGCCTGAAACTCTCTTTCCCATCTTTTCTAAGAAGTGAGCTCCAATTGATCCTTCAAGGAATAGCTCAAATATCTCTTTGCCTCTGCTTATATTCGTGGGGGGTTTGCACTGGTACAGGAGGAGGAGAAAGGAGTTCGTAGTGGGAGAAGAGAAGAAGATAGTAGAGGAGGAGAAGGAGGTGGACAAATATTTCTCGCAGTTCTAAGGGGGAAAAAAGACTTGAACCACTATGCTTGGGGAAGGTGAAGGTGAGAAGTTGCTGAAAATGTTCAAAAGCTCTTCTGTAAGACTTTGGACAAAAGGATAACTGCTTTGGAGCACAGGTGATGTGTTGTGGTCAAGAGGACACTAGGAGGACCTTTACTGTGCTGGAATCAGCACTGATGCTTTGGGAATGTCCTGAACATCCTTGTCATGGATATTGATGTTTTCAGAGTAGGGCATTGAGGTATCCTCTAAGCAACTCTGCTGGCAGTAGATATGGAGGACTAGTACCAGAAGAGGAGATTAAGAATTGGGAGGATATTTTATAACTGTAACTGGAGGCTGCTTAGGCAGCCCATGGGAAGCATCTTTTTGGGTGTCCTTACAAGTCGCTGGGGGACCACATGGAGCATGGGGGTGGTACTGAGGTCTTGCCCATTTTCTGATAAGAATGTTGAGTCAGCAGACATTTGGGGTACATTTATTAACATATTTCATTTATTGGATGATGTGTTTCTGGGAACATAAGTAGTCTTAGTCAGTTCTTTATGTCCTCAGAACCTGGCCCAGGGAACTCAGTAAATGCTAAGCAAATTGAAATTAGAATATGTAGTGTCTTAAATGATTACTGAATAATTATTTTGAAAGATATTAAGACACATGGAGTATTTTTGAGAAATGGGAAGGTATAAAGAAAGCAGTGTTTTAGGATGGAGAGGAAAAATGTAGGACTGAGTCGATTCTGAGAAAAGAGAGAAAAGTGAGAGAAACTTTGGGAGTTCTAACCTAGGGGACTGGCTTAGACTTGCCTATAAGAAAGAGGGGTATAGTTAGCTGTTTCAGTTTAGCATGAAATAAATTCAGAAGGAGGGATGGGGCTGAATTCTTAAGAGATTTAATAGAGAAAAGAAGAGAAACAGGGTAGGGTCTTGAGAAAGACAAGTGAAAATGAAAGTACAACATACTAAAACTTAAAGGATGCAATGAAAATGGTGCTCAGAGGGAAATTTATAGCTATAAGTGCCTACATTAAAAAGGAAAAAAAAAACCCTCAAATCAATAACCTAACTTTACACCCCAAGGACCTAGAAAAAGAAGAACAAAATAATCCCAAAGCAGAATACTGGGAAGATGGCAGACTAGGTAAAAGCAGGGTTCGCCTCCACCCAGGACCGCAATGCAATTACAACCAAATTATAAAATAATCAGGAGAATCATCTGAAGTCCAGCTGATGGTAACACATAAGTCTGATAATATAAAGGAGACACATTGAAGCCGGTAAGAGGGGCAAAGTCACAACTCGGGCTGGACCTGCATCTGCAAGTGGTGGATCACTAGGAGGGAGAGTGAAGCTGCAGAGGCTCCCCTGAAGGAGAAGGGGGTCCTGGCCTTATTTGGGGGCTCCCCAGCCAGGGTCTCAGCCCGGGGATGAGGAGATTCCAATAACCCTGACTGTAAAAACCTGAGGGGATTCTGGCCATCTGAGAGAGACAGGAGACTGAAACTCGAGACGCCCTTATGAAGGGCCCACGCACAAGCTTTCTGACATGCAGACACACCCAGGACACCAGTGGTGGGTCAGAGGCTCAGTGAGATTCATACTGCATTACCTGACACCGGAATGAGAGCTGGAAGAGCAGCCACCAATGGGCCTTAGTCTGGCCCCTCGACCTGGCAATCTACAGACCAGCTAGCTTCCCCGGGCAGACCCCTCTCACAGGGCCATTATGAAGCTGCTGGCCTGAAATCAGCCCGCCTCACTCAACCTGCAGATTGTCTGGGGATTTTGTTGCTGGATGGCTGCCATGCCCTGCGTGGATTCAGGACTAAGCATTTGCAGTTGGTGGCCAGCGCTGTGACCGGGCACTTCCGAGAGTTTCGAGCAGATCACTGCTGCCAACATGAACTTAGGCAGATATCAGTGATCTGTGGGCAAGTCCCAGATAGCAGCTGGTCTTGCTGTGTTCTGGGACTTCAGCGGGAACTGAAGTTGCAGCAAGACTGAGGATATATTGATCTGATTGCCACTGTCTCCCTGAGAACCCACTCCACCCTACCCACAAATTGCCCTTGCTGGCCCATTGATAGTGAACCGCCACCACCCTCTCTTCCCAATC